TATATATAATTTCTCTAGCGTATAAATGAACAAAAACATACTTTTTGAGAATTTTACAACTGAAATTCCGCTGTAACACACAGTTTGGTCACGTGTTTCCTGTGGAGCTCCACAGATCATGAGATCCACTTTACGCCCCTTAAAATCACGTATTTCCGGTGGAGCTCCACTTTACACAGTTTACAGGCGTCTGCAGCTGGACCCTTCTCACTTAAACTTCGCTGAAGCATTGACTATGCTGTCCCCCTCAGCTGACATTTTCCGCGCAATTGCAGTAGATCGAATGGCGTCAAGTCGTAAAACAATCTGCGTGCAAATTTTGTTTTTCAAAACACTTTAAATGTCGAAAGCCGCGCATATATGCGATACTGCGATAAAGATACAGTATGCCTTTACTGTTGTCAGATACTCATTTTACGATCTCATTTTTATACACGTGACTGCTGTAAACATTACAAAAGACCGTAGATTGCATTTTTGTTTTTTGTTCTTTTGCTAAACAGACAAGAACGAGTTCTGATTTTACAAATATTCGAATATTTACCATGCAGATAATGAATATGTATTCGACTATCGGCAATATTCGGTGCACCGAATATTCGAGTGTATCGTAACGGCTCTAATATAAACTAGTACTTCATAAAATACACCAAAGAATTGACATTGAGTCTACGAAATACACTGGATGGATCAAATAATAAATATACATACAGTAGACATTATATCGACCATTATATCCAATACTGAAGAGCAAGGTAGGCTCTGTGACTGATATCTGCACAGTTTTCATCACTCATCATTCTGCATGAACGCAAACGCTGACGAGGAATAGCTACAGTTTCGTGTGGGATGTTAGCTGACGCTCAGCGACGGCCTGCTACTGTACGCGTTTTCCCGCTGTCTGCTCTTCACCAGCCCTGTAACCTTATTTTGTGGAATAAACGGGCCTAAGCCCCCCCCCACACACACACACCAAAGGCCATCATCCTCCCAGTACAGCCCCCATGCCTTGTTTCTGCACACAATAAAGCTCTTTTTCCTGATCACACTTTTCAAATCATCTTAACACCAAATTACAGTGCTACATTGAATGTCTGTTAAGCATTGGATCTGTTCAAAAGCATTGGTGTGAAAAGGTTACTTATTTTTGTTAAAATTGTTTTAAAAAAATTTTTTTATTTAAATTATTAAAAAAAAAAATATTAAGGATGCTCAGTAGGTGGTGCTGTTGCCTCACACCTCCAGGGCTGGGGATCTGAATTTCCTTGTGGAGCTTTCACCTTCTCCCTGTGCTGTGGGGGCGTGTCCAAGGACACAGAGCTACCCTGCAGCGGATCCAGAACTCCCCATAATCTCTGCTGGAAGAGGGATGGGTGGGTGGAATGAATGGATGGATGGACAGAAGATGAGGCTCTTTAGAACCTGAATAACTAATTATTCATTCATTACATTGTTCCCAGACAAAATTCAAGCAACGAGAAGCACAGGAACTTGAACCCTGGACCCATAGATTAACTTTTATGGGTCCAGGGTTCAAGTTCCTGTGCATCTCATTGCAAGAATTTTGTCTGGGAACAATATTTTCAGTATACAATAACAGTACAGATCAATTCAGTGACAATAATTTCAGCAGTTAAAGTGATATGACCAAAATTTTAGGATAAATATTAAATAAAGACCGAATATCAATTTTTTGTTACTTAGCAGTCAATTTTTTCTCTCAGAGCATAGGTTGCTTGCAATCACATTTCTGATGAGGAGAATGTAAATGATGAGTCTCATTTGGGGACATGCTCTGAGATGGCGTTTTAGGAAATAATGTCAGGGCAGTTAAAAAGCAGCGCTGATCACGCGACAAAACAGCATAGCAGGGTTCACTCAGTCAAGGGGCCAGAGTGTGTCGACAAAAAGCTTAACCCTGCCCCCTGCTGCTCATTCATAGCATTACGCTCAGTTTCATACTGTATATATTGCAATTTTGTTTGAGGATACGCTTTTCCAGATATTCCTATTTATAAAATTGTTAAATGCTTATTAGCAATTATTTGTTAAATTATATGGTTAAAAATGGTTATGCACTCCTACACATAACATCCAACTTCATAGCACCCAATTCACAAATAGGACTTACAGTACAGTGTCCAAACCTTATTTGCTGTTTGTCTATTCATGTCCAAACTGAGACACTAAACATGTTGTTTTGACAGGTTTTCATGTCGTTTCTTGGAGTTAATCACTTTTAATTGACAGCCCACACAGGAATAGTATCAAGTTTATTTGGAGTCACATCTGTAATAATAAGAGGCTGGCAGACCTGGATGTCATTCATGATGAAATCAGGAAAAACAGAAGCCCAGTTTGATGACCTCAGCTGAGAGTGATGGACGTTTTTCTAAATCCCTCACTTAGGCTGCTA